ATATTTTTTTTAGGGGTTAAAAATTAACCCCTAATTTTATATGCAATTAAACCCTAAATGAATAGTCAAAATTTAGGTGTCAACATTCCTTTTTCTGTTTTTTTTTTCTTTTTTTTTCTTTTTTTTCTTTTCTTCTCTCTTCCCTCCGCTGGCCATGGCGGAGGGAAGAGAGAAGAAAAAAAAAAGGAAAAAAAACAGAAAAAAGGAAAAAGATGAAAATGTCCATGGGCCAAAGTATTGTGGGGTAAATATGTCATAAGTGGCATAGTTTAGGGTTTTTCATGTCACAAAAAAAAGTTCAGAGTAAATTTGTCACAAATGTCATAGTTTGAAGTTTTTCGTGTCACAAAAAAAAGTTCAGGATAAATTTGTCACAAGTGGCATAATTTGGGATTTTTGATGGTATTTTTCCAGTATTAAATTACTTGGACACCCCCTCAATTTTATCGACGTTACTTGAAAACCCCCGGCGTTTTCAAAATGCACTCCGACGGTCCGACCCCGTGTTAGAAACATTTTCGGATTTGAATGATTAATAAAAGATTAAGTCGTCACAACAAAGTTTTCAAAACATAACTGGGATATGGACAACCAAGTCACCATGTAAAGAGCAATTTGTTCATACCATGAGTTTTTGTATATGCAGTTGACATAACACTATCCTCCTTTGCATGCATTGAACTGTAATTTCAAAGGCACAATATGATTTAAGCATGTCAAAAGATGTTAAACAAATTGAAATAGAAACTAGAATAATAGCATGACAACAAAAAATTTTCCAAGTTAGACACAAAAAATAACATTACACGAACACTGTTAGAGAATGGGAAAAGTACCAAAAAAGTCATAAACCTATTACATTGGTACCAATTCAGTCCTAAACTTTTAAATTGGATCAATTTAGTCTTAAACCTTTTCACATTGGTACCAAGTCAATCCATCTGGCTAATTTAGGCCGGAAATTGCTGACATGGATATTGTCTGTCCTACGTGGCATGACCAGCGCTAACGTGGATAATTTTTAATAAATTTTAATGTTTTTTTCTTTTTTTTCTCTTCCTTCTCCTTCCTTGGACCTATGGCCGGTCACCATGGCCGGGCCGGTGAGGGCGTCGTGGCCCTCGCCGGCCACAGGGGCGGGTCTCCCTTGCCAAATTCGTCGAGGGTGGCCCTCGCAGGCGAGGGCGAGGGCGACCCTACCCCAGGCCACGAGGGTCCAACCCTTGTTGGATCTGGCGAGGGCGACCCTCCCCTGTGGCCAGCGAGGGCTGCGACGCCCTAGTCAACCCTCACCTATGGCCGGTCACCGGCCATGGCCACTGGCCACAGGTCCAAGGAAGAAGAAGGAAGGGAAAAAAAAGGAAAAAAACATCAAAAATTCAAAAAATTATTTAAAAAATTATTAAAAATTATCCACGTCAATGTCGGTTGTGCCACCTAAATTGATATCAATGCGAAAAGGTTTAGGACTAAATCGGTCTAATTGAAAGGTTTAGGACTGAATTGCTACCAATGAAATAGGTTTAGGACTTTTTTTGCACTTTTTCCATTAGAGAATATATCAAATTTCTTCATGGGTTTTAGTCGATATTTACAGTGGAATCAGATTTGGCACAAAAATTAACATCCATCATCAGCTTCTTCGTGGGGTTTTGGGACGTGGGGGGAATCAACTCTAGACCGATAGAGACCGACCCGCGAGAATCACACTCGATCGCGACTTGAGCGTGAAAGAAGATGTTTAAGTTAGGGTTTACGTATTTGGCATCGAACGATGAACGATGATCTTCAAAAAAGTCAAAATGCGAAATTATTTTGTTTAAACTCGAGCGAAATTTGTTTCTTATCAAGTAGGTAGGGTCATTTACGTTGGACCCTGTTTTCATGTCTCTTCCTTGGATATGTGGAGTTTTATCAAGTCAATTTTCATGATCCAACTACAATTCCAAATAAATTAATCCAGATTACTCAATTTTGATTAATTCTTTTACCTAAGAATCGACAAAGGGGCAGAGTGCGCTTTGAAAATGCAAGGGGTGTCCGAGTTTTTTTTTTCAAATTGAGGGGTGTGTCCAAGTAATTTTCCAAGTTGAGATATAGCATACTTTCGCGTACTTGGAAACCTCGTATTTTTTGTGATAACTATTACCCATTTCAAAGCTCACACTCTATTATGTCATAGAAGAGATCACACTCCATTACCCATTACAAAGCTCGCACTCAAGAAAATAATTCTAATTTATGTCTCAGTCTTGAAGAATTAAGAGCTATTATCATGTTTAAATATTGTTGATAACTACATTGCTTTTTTAAAAAAATGACAGAAAATATTGATCGCTTAAATGTAAGGAATGACTATGCACTGTAGTAGATTTTTAGAAATGATTGTCCAAAAAGTCATAAACCTATTACATGATGGCCAATATAGTTTTAAACTTTTCAATTTAATTAATTTAATCATGAACCTTTCGACGATTTTATTCATCATGAATGGTTAAGCAAAGAGAAAAGTTAAAGCTTTAGTCCTTTCTAGTTACTACTACTTCATTTGCCTCACTAAAGTGTGTTAACATCTAAAATTTTCGCCCAGAGGTATCTCATTCATTTTATAAAAATCAGGGATCGAATCCATTAATAGCATTAGAATTTGATCTCTAAAAAAAATATCAACAGTGACCAATCTTGCTTCATTTATAAATTAAGGACATTTTGTCTGAGACTAGTGTGTTGCATCGAACATCGACTTGTGTTGAGATCATGAATATTTTGTGAACCAACCCATCACGCGATCGCCTAATCTCAATTTGTTCACCTTCTACACTTAGATCCTTCCAAGCATGTTGATGTATTAATGCCATCCAAGTTGTTCTCCTTCTATTTGATCTGTCCAAGCACCTCGATGATCCCATGTCCCCCACTTGTTCATCAAAATCCAAAGGTTCTTTCAATTCTAGCACTTTCCACTCAATATTGCAGAGCAAGAAAAATCCTTCATGTTGTTAACATCTCCTGCATATAAACTTATATATGCAGAGAATATTTCGTCCGCACACTCAAATACATATATTAGCTCCTATAGAATGTTTTGTTATCTTCAAACTACTTTGGGAATTTTTCCATAAGAAGTTACCTCGAAGAAATAAGTGTTTTGACTCCCTCATTTACATGGAAAAATCGAAAGTGCAAGGGACCTGGGGCCTCACTCAAGGCCATTGGGCCATTGCGGATCATCATAGTGATATTGCACAGGGCCATCGACTCACTCCTTAGTAGACTCGGTCTTCTGGGGAATAAAGAACCAGCGCAGGGCACAGGCATGGGCTGCAAGCGCCATGTGACACGCTCTTATTGGGCGTGCCACCACCTGGCACCAATTTTCCCTTTCTTTGAAGAATCAGTTATTTTATTTATATGTTTGTTTAAACTTTGACCCCTCATTTCTCTTTCATCCAATTGACTCGATATTCATATTCGCAAAAAGATCACGACTCGAATTTTCCAAAAAATTTGTCCGTTATCTAGAAACGTGTTGCTCTTCTAAGTATAAAAAATACTTCATTCTAGTCTTATTTTAAGAACTGGTTTTGTTTTAACGTGTTGTGACCCTCCCGAGTTGAATTCGAGAGGGTTTAACAAATTGTTGAGTAGGCGCAAGTAACCCTCTTGCAAGATGGCATTTACGCTTCGCACAAACTATCTCAAGCCCTATCGACGGGAAATTATTTTCTCATTAATTATTTGATCAATTTTAACTAGAGTCGCCCCTAAGATTAGGAGCCGAGTAGGATGCAGGAGACCACTTATTTACATGAACTAGAGATTCATAAGGCCAGGGACTTGGTGATGCCAGATAAATGTAATTCTCATCATGGGTACCTTTTCCTTTTATAGTAGGTTTTGCATGCAATCTTCCTTTTTTTATTTTTTTAGAAGAAATGAAAATTTAAATAATCATGTATGGAGACTCAAAAAAAAAATCCAATTAAATAGCAACGAAGAAAGTAAACAATGAGGAAAGAAATAACCCAAACTGTATCGGACAACGATATACATATACAATGTCTCGTTATTAAGTTCTAAGATAGGATCCCCATGAGCTATTGATAAAAATTAACGGTGTGCTAAAGTAAATAATAAATATGAGTTTCCTAATCTAGGTGAAAAAGATCAATACTACACTAGATGAAACCGGATTAAGTATGACTTAACTAATCTTGCAAAGCAATAATCATCTAATATGTATAATATATTGATGATTTCTTTAAATTACTATTACGATTTAATCTAACTAAGTGCTTGTGAGTACAAGAAGAGCTAATTGAATGCTTATGAACCAAGTAAAGCTATGTGCATGACCGAAACGGTAAAAAGATCCCAAACTTTTTGGCTTATTGAAGGCGCAGGTAAAAGGCCAACACTACGTAAAAACGACAATGAGAATACTTCCAAAACCGTAAATAACAAACTGCACACATACTGAATTTAATGTAAGAGCAAATCTAACGCCACGGAAACGTGCTGGATGAAGCAAAATCATGCAGACAAACAACGAGGTCACTCCGGGATACTTCAAAGGGCCGAACATGGACGAAACATACTCAGTCCAATACCATCATGTGAAGGGAACAACTAGACATCATAATTCATCCCTAGACAAAGTGAATTGCATGTCAAAGTAGCGTGAGAAACGAATCCTATACCTTTTGACTCTCAAGCTTTTTCTTCTACTCACCGCTCTTTAATCTTGTCTGATTCTGATTTTCCCATTACTTTCCAACTCTCACTCAAATCTTCCTTTTGGATTCCCCAGCCACCGAAAGGCATCCCCCCCTGAAGCTTACGATCGGTTTTACTTTTCAAAAAAGAACCACCGAATCCTTTTCTCATTCTGTCGCCAAAGGTCACCGACAGATTTTCCCTAATAAAAAAAGACCCGCTTTCTGTTTTCCCTCTTATCTCATCCCTGGCCAGCTCACTTGACCCAATCAATCTTTTCAAACTCCATACCATGGACGAAGCATACGAGTGTTTGACCATGTTTGATTTTTGTGTAATCCAAATCTCTTGACCGTATTTTGCTCCTTTAAAAATCCTCTTAAAAAACCGGTTGTTTTTTTCAGAACAGTCCGCTCTCTTGGTCGGCCTCGACTCATCTAATCCTCATCTTGAAAGTTTTTGATCCAAACTTCCACAATTCTTGGAATCGTGATCCAACTTGTCCGAGTCATATCTAACTCCACAGCAAGGAGTTCGGACCAATTCCACTATCTTGGAATCATGTCCAATCTCACTATCTTAGAGTGAAGACCATCTCCCGTAATCTTTGAGTTGGGTTCAATCACGCTATCTTGAAATTGAAGCTAACTACCACGATTTTGGAGTTGTGAATTCTAGTTCATCTCGCATGCCAAGCCGTCCATCGGGCCAATTAAAATGAAGAAGTCCGTAGTCGAGCCCTTGTTTTATTCAATGCAAACAAGCTTTGTTTAATTCAAATGCATTGTGCCTAAACATAAATGTGTCTATTGTCTAAATGCAGAGAAATGTAATAAAAGATGCGAGTGCAGGACTAAGCTAAGCAAATGTTTTTGTTTGAGGATCCAATCGCACCGGTATCGACGAACTCAATTCTTAGTTTTCTCATGAAATGAATGAAAAGTGTCCAAACAAAACTTTATGTATCGACGCAAGATTAGAGGTATAAGCTTTGAAAAACAGACTCTTTCGACATTTGGTGAGAAATGTTGTGATCATCTGACTATCAGAATGTATTATTGTCGTATGTATTGTATGTCGTTGCAGTAGCATGTGTTAAATTATTACTTAGTAATGAAGAAACCACTCAAAGGAGTTCTCTCACCGAATTGACGAGCTAGTCTTTGGAGTTGCCCATTCTTCAAAGGCAACAATTTAAGGACAAAAATTACTAAGAATTGGAGCTTAGGTTGAGTCGGTTACTGGTTGGGTCTAGATTGAATTGGGCATGGGTTGCTAAAATTGTATTGCATAAAAAGGGATCCATATGGTTTCAATCGATCAATTTGGGTCGGACCATTTCCGACCTAACCTGATCTGCCCGTTTGACAGGCCTACACACAACACATTAGGAATAAGCTCAATTATTATTTAAAAAGTATGTTAATCCCTTTTTTATAGCTATCTTTTAAATCATTCTTGTAAACTAACTGAATACTTAACTGGGGTAGCTATGCACTTATCCAAACCGCCCTACTAATTTTCTCTCCATTCGCACATTCATAATGTCTCCGCCCTTCTCTCTCTTAACGACTAATTCAAGGTGTTGAAGCAGTTGGAACCAGAAATCTTCCATAAATTCATGAAGCTGAATTGTCACGTTATTCGGATAGATAGAATCAAGAATTCTCTAGAGCATCAAAGCTCCATGAAAGCTGGTCCCATCGAATAGGCAATTGAAGCGTTAAAGAAGCATCGAAAGGAAGGAAAGAAATCGATGGCGATGAAAAAAAAAGTTGAATTTTAGGACGGAGAGTGATTTGGAGGAAAGAAAAGCGGCCGTATTTGAAGCCAATTTGTATTCGATGCTCTCTACGCTCTTTCATTTCATGTTGGAGAACAGAGTTAGAAAAATATGTGAGAGGTGGAGATTTCTCTGAAATTTCTATTCGACCGGTTGAATACTGACTCGAATGCTATCATGGTGGATTTACGAATACCCAAATGGAAGGGGGATTGCCGATCTCGCAGTTGATGGGTGAACTATTTGACTGATCTAAATCGAAAACTCTCTAAATCATCTCATATAAATTATGTTACCTCTACCACAAATCCATAGATGAGACACTGCCTCCTGCTTAAACTTAAGATAGCCACTCTATTTTATATTTTTGTTGTCGCTTTGCTAGTCTTCAAAATTACCTTTGGAATTGGGACCCACTACTTTTTTCCTTTGAAATTTTAATCTGCGTTCAAATGGGGATATATCGGACAATCCACCTAAGGCAAATTAGGAAAGAAAAAAAGTATTCTTGCATAAAACCTTTCTCAGACACCTCGTAACAAAGCTGGAAGCTAGTGTCATCTCATGGTGGTCTGATGGTCGTTCACATTCTTCATGACTATTTTGAAGAGTCATTCCTCTAAGGGATAATGACACAAATGATCTCTAAATCTTGATCTAATATGCAATATAATCCATGAATTTTTAATTTATTTAATGTGATCCATGAAATTTAATCCAACGTGCAATGTGATCCCTGAAGTTCAATATGATCTCTTGACTTTTGGTACATATTCAACTTAATCTCTGAACTATATGAAAATATCCAATATTGTCTTTCCATTAATTCAAGTTCATGTATAACATTAGACATTTTTACATAGTTCAGGAACTAGGTTGAACATGTACCAAAAGTCAAGGGACCACATTGAATAAATTAAAAGTTTAGGAATCACATTACACATCGAGCTACAGTTCATGGATTACATTAAACAAATTAAAAGTTCAAGACCACATTACACATTGAGCTAAAGTTCAAGAACCATTTGTGTCATTTTCCCTTCCTCTAACCAGTAAAGCTGGAAATTTTTCCAAAGTAGCTTTTTCCCTCCACTTTGGAAAAATTTCATAGGCTTGACTTAAAGTCGTCACTCTTTTTTTCTTTCGATGCTAAGAGTAAAAGAAGATGGCTTGTCTCGTGGTGAAGAAAAGCCTTGTTCAGTGCACTGTGGGACCGACAGTGGCACTCACTCAACAAATTCCTCTTTACACCTATAAATAAGATCATGAGAATCAGAACTCATCCTTAGCCCACAAGATCATCTATTACGATCACAGGATTAGGAGCACGGCTATAAATCTGATCCGCTTGCACCATTATGATCATTTTCCTCGTTTAAAAAGTTTAAACAATGAATATGGTTTACCAAGGATGATTGGATTATACAAACTAGATAAGGTGGGTCTTATGCAAGATTAAAATTACCTTTCACAGACACCTCATAGCAAAGCTGGAAGCGTAGTCTCATGGTTGTCTCATGAATGTTCAGATTCTTCATGACTATCTCAAAGCGTCGTTCCACTAACTAGCAAAGCTGGAAACTTTTTCCCCCCACTTTAGAAAAATTTCATAGGCTTGACTTAAAGTCGTCCCTCTTCTTTTCTTTCGGTGCGAAGAGAAAAGAAGATAAAAGCTAGGTGTTTTCTAACCACATTTGCCAAACTAAAACCACTTCTCACCAACTGCTCAACTTTACCAACTATTGTGTTGATGACCCAACTCATTTTGTAAGGTGGCATATATCTCTAAAATATAAATCAAGTGGCACTATTAATGAGAGCTTAAAATCAATCAAATTCCTAAGCCATACTGAAGCGATAGAATAATTGCAGCATGGTCTAACAGAGAGACTGTTAGGTGCTCCCAAACACCGTATGATGATCCACTCACCGGTCTGCTTCATCATAATATTCTTCTTTAGAGGAAAGTTAAAAGTTAAAAGCACTTCATATTGAATAATTGGTTGGGTGGTTGATGACATGATGACATGATGCTTTGAAAGCTTAAAACATTTTCCCACAAAAAACAAACGATTGTGGATGAGCTGTTGCTGGCTCATCAACTTAATAATTTAATTGAAGCAGCATAACCATTTGTGTGTAACTTTATGAAAGTTTGATTCATCTGCTTACCCATTACTTTTCTATGATTGAGACTGAAAACTTTAAGTATAAACAGTAGTGAAAACTGTAGATCGTCAACAATGTTGATCCACATAATTCAGCTTAAGAAATTATGATTGATTAACAATTCAATTGTACCAATTTCTATATAAGTCCAAAGTACTTTTCTTACTTGGAATTTCAATCTCCAAAAGATTTGAGTTATGTGATAAAGCAAATGTAAACTATTTATACAACACATATAGAAACAACTCAAATGAGATGTTTATTTAACCAATACAGAAATTTTTATCATGTCGTATATTTTGAATATGCACAAAGCCTAAATTTTCACAAGGCTTGAACACCAACTTGATTGCCTTATATAAAATATTACTAAAAATATTTGCAAAACATTAGTGCCGTGTCAATAGTTTTCATTATGTAGCTAATATATAAACCGAGCTTATGTAAGACCTTCTTCCATGGGAACAAAGTGGGTATAGGTAATGTCACATAGTCAAGTGGCCCAAATAGATAAAGACGAGGAATAAACAAAAAGTTTGGATTCTTTAATTGACACTAAAATCTAAAGCTCTGCTGGTAAGCATGAAAAATAGTTTTTTTTTTTTGCCCTTTTTGGTGGGCCGGCAGCTAAGCGCTCCTTTAATCAGTGAAACTACCATGAGTTTTCTTTTTATTCCGGGAAGATATGTTTAGAATAAATATCACACCCTAACTTCATATTGGAATCATAGGGAATGATCGGCCAACCTATAAAGGACGAGGCCTTTACCTATCGTTTCATAAGAATATAACTTCATATTAAATCAATCATCTGGTAAAACTTCTACTCACAAAACTTAAAAATATCCAAACCATTTTGATTGCACTTTTACAACAAGTATTAAGATTTTTTATGCACTTTCACAAATTTGCCGGCCATTTGGCTTTTTTGCCGGTCAAGTTTATCACACAAAGAAACTTTTGTCAATCAGCCAATCCGAATAACCCCGTGATATGTCTTCAGTGAAAATAAGTCTGTGTTCACACCTATTTAATATCTTGGTCCATCATTTTTGAAAGTTTTAATATTATTCTTTGCTGACCCTACCCTAAAAAAGTCATGAATCTCTGTCCTCTATATAGAAGATCAAATGGTGAATGGATGTCTGAAAGCACTCTACCAAATCTTAAGCTACTACTCGTTGTTGATTGTTAAACTCCATCATCTAATGGCTTCTTCATCAAAACCCAAAAGGATTTACGATGTGTTCTTAAGTTTCAGAGGCGAGGATGTCCGGAACAACTTTCTCGGTCATCTCTACAAAGCTCTTGACCAGAAAGGAATCTACACTTATGTTGATAGCGAGGAGCTTAGGAAAGGAGAGCAAATAGCACCAGAGCTTATGATGGCAATCGAGGAATCGCATATCGCAATCATTGTTTTCTCAGAGGATTACGCTTCCTCATGTTGGTGTTTGGAAGAGGTGGCGAAGATCATGGATTGCAAGGAAGAAAGAGATCTCATGGTCTTTCCCTTGTTTTACAAAGTGGATCCCAAAGAAGTGAGAACACCAAGAGAGAAGTACAGAAAAGCTATGCTTAAGCATGAGTCCAAGTTTGGGAAGGATTCGGAGGAAATAAAGAGATGGAAGAAAGCTCTTTTTGATGCCGGTAGCTTGTCCGGGTGGCATTTGAAAGATGGGTAAGTGGAGTGGAGTCCATATTTTTATCAGTGGGCTATTGAAGTCTTCATATTTCATTTTGGTCTATTGAGTTCTACAAATTTTCAATTTTGGTCAACCAAGTCATAAACTCATTACCGGTAGCATCTTGAGTGTGAATAATCACATGTGGCCAACCATAGAGCAAACACGTGGCTTTCTCCCGAAATACAAAATTGACAATAGGACTTCATAGCCTGAAAGTTTTACCGACTTATTTGAACGATATAAAATGTTAAAACTTGATCAATCAATGGACAAAATGTTAAGTATGTGTTATTGCACTTACTCCATTTTTTTTTTGGAAGGAATTAACGCTTGATACAAGATAATTAATGTGTATAGACCATGTAAGGCAATGACATCGTGGTTCGGAGTATTTTAATAGTTTTCGAATCGAAATCTTACCACCGTTCAAAGTCCTAAATAGCTCTTTTTGATTAAGCATATAAATAAATCACATATAATGGCTAAAAAGGAAAAATATGTAAATTGTCACGTATAAATCAAAAGAACATGAATCACTTGGATGACTAAAAGTTGAACCCTGAACTTGTTTTGATTGGTGTGGAGCTCTTTGAGTTCTAATTTGACTTGGTGGGAATACATGTTGTTTTGGTTGTGGTTACGTGAAAATGTGATGTACTGCTTTTATCATTGTTGGCTAGTAATTGCTTGCTATTTGCTTATTCAAATTGCTAAAACGATGCCACAACTTCTATTTTTCATTTTTTTTTCAGAGATGAGTCGGAGCTTATACAAGGAATTGTAACGGAAATCTCCACTCACCTAGACCGGACACCTTTGCATGTGGCTAAGCATCCGGTTGGGATAGATTCCCAAGTGGTTAAGCTGAAATCGATTTTAAATCTTGAGTCTAATGATGGTGTTCTCATGGTGGGATTTTGGGGACAAGGAGGCATAGGAAAGACAACTTTAGCGAAAGCCCTTTACAATGCTATTTCTGGAATATTTAAGGGTTCATGTTTCTTGGCAAATGTTCGAGAGGCTTCGAAAGATGGCAAGGGTTTAGTTTCTTTGCAAGAAAAATTACTTTATGAGATATTATCACTACAACAAACATTAGTAGTGTCTAGTGTCGATAGAGGTATTAATCTGATAAGAGAAAGACTTCGTTGTAAAAAAGTTCTCCTTATCCTTGATGATGTGGATCACTTGCGCCAATTAAATGCTTTAGCAGGAGAAGGCAAGTGGTTTGGTGATGGAAGTAGGATCATCATTACTACCAGAGATAAACATTTGCTAACTTGTTCTGACATAGATCAAGTTCATGTGTATGAAGTTAAACCAATGGCTTATAGTGAAGCTCGTGAGCTGCTTAGTAAGTATGCATTTTCGACACACAAAATATTAAAAATCAAGACAGATCTAGTGGATGGTGTTCTAGATCATGCTAAAGGCCTTCCTTTAGCACTTGAGGTACTGGGTTCCTTCTTACGTGGTAGAAGAGAAGATGAATGGGAAAGTACACTATATAAAATATCTACGGCTCCTAACAATGACATCAATGATGTACTCAAGATAAGTTATGAAGGACTACAGTCAAATGAGAAAGAGATTTTTCTCGACATTGCATGCTTCTTTAAGGGGTGGGAAACTGAGTACGTAAAAAAAGTTCTTGAAGGTTGTGATTTAAAGGTAGTAATAGGATTACAAATTCTCATTGAGAGGTCCTTAATAAGAATTGAGTCTAGATGCCTACAAATGCATGACTTGATTCAATTGATGGGCATGGATATTGTGAACCAAGAGTGCGATGATCCCGGGAAACGCAGTAGACTATGGCTGTGTGATGATCTTCTCGATGTTCTGTCATACAACATGGTAAGACTTCCAAATCCGATCAAAATTCTACTCCTTAATTTTTTTATTATAATTATTGAACATGCATAACCTAAACAGTCTTGTATAAACAGGGAGATTGTATTGTAAAAGCCATAGTGTTGGAGCCACCTGAGCCAACAGAGATATATATCGGTCCACATGATTTTACAAAAATGAGAAGATTGAGATTGCTCATTTTGCACAATGTGCATAATTCTTTCCAAGTTCCTATTTTTCTTTCTAATGAGCTAAGATGGTGTCGATGGGATGGATGTGCCACCTTTCCAGAATTTTCCTCTGGTAAAAAAAAATTATTGGGACTTGATATGAACAATTGCAGTATGCCAGTAGTGCCAAATTATTTAAAGGTGAGCATTTACCTGCATTGACCTTTTTATTATCTACCTCATTTGTGTATGTATATGGTATTATATGAACTAGTACACAAAAGGAAGAATTGTTCCTCTGTTTCGGAAACCATTTCTCTATTTTCTTTCAAAATGACGCTAACTACTTGCATTAGAAATATTTTTTAAGTGCGGCAAAATTGGCATTTGAAAAATTAAGCGAACAACTTTGTTAGAAATACTCAATGGAAACATTTTTGTTAATAAAATACATAACTACAAATAATTTTTATACATATACGTGGAAAGAGAAAGATATTTCAAGATTTGAAATTTTTTTATTAAGGTCACAGCATCATTAGAAAATTTGACTTTTCATATTGAAATATGTGAGAGATAAAAAAAATAAAATAATCAATTTCACGTATCTATCCATGGTATAATATTTGTAAAATAAGTAATTAAGGATAATTGATGGAAGGAATATAAAAAAAAGATTGAAATCTTTTAAAGTAATCATCTTTACCTTATATAATAGTATAGATAAAGTTTACATATTTTCTAACGTAATATCTCCAACTATCAACATAGATATATTTCAAAATCAGATCAAATCTACCAAGTGAAGAAATTCAAAATGCAAGTTGCTGTTGGTTGTTTACATATAAACTTTAGAAAAATTATACAGTGATCGAACAAAAGGGAAACAAAAATATGACCAACCTACCTGTTCACATGTATATAGAAGTAAAAGTAAGGATGACGTGGCGGTTAAGTGGTGGGCCGCGTAGTCATCAAGTGATGGAGCCTTGCCCAATGCACAAACCTAAACGGCGGGGATTTGACCAGCATCAATAAAATTAGCTTAGTCGAAGGTTTGAATGCGCCAGTCTATAAAACAAGGCATTTTTAATTGCTTAAATCATTTCTTAAGGAGCAGTACTACTGAGTCGACATAATAGAGTATTTGTTAGGAGCTTTGCCAGTTATGTGTGTAATGTGTGCACTAGTTTCTTCTTAGAACGTAGAGCCAGATTTTGAATTGAGTCTATGAAATTTTTATTTTCTTCCAAATGTTTTTCAAAGTTTTTTTTGGTCAAATTTTTTTCAAAGTTGACTTCATTGTCATTGCATGTCTTCAAAAATATTTTAAAGTTTATTAATTTTTACGAAATTACATTGTCATAGTATTTACATCCCCCATTCATCTATCATATGTAGTTAAAGCTAGAACTGGCAAATTCTTTATTCCTATACTCGCCTCGTGGCAATTCACTTTGTTTTTGTGATTGCCACATAACATGACACATGGAATAGTTTTGTCACATGGCTCGCATCCGCACTCGCCACGTGGCACTTCACTATGCTTATATGATTGTCACATGGCATGACACGTGGCATAGATTTGTCACATGACATGACACATTCGCATACTCACCATGTGACACTTCACTTAGATTTTGGATTGTCATATGCATGACGTGTGGCACAATTTTATTCCAAATTAATTTTCGTAAGCTAATAGAGGGTAGATTTGGATGAAGAGTACCGGTTTGTGATTTTTTTTAGACGAAAATTAGTTTTAGGGTAAATATGTCATAATCGTACCAATTTAGGATTTTTGTAAGATGAAAATTAATAAGGGGTAAATCTGCATGCTGATTTGGGATTTTTTATTCTAATCTTTTTCAATAATTGTTAACCCAATTTTATTTGTGAACTTTTTATATTGTGTGTCTATATAATATTAAATTCTTTCAAACAATATCTAAAATGTCAAATGATAAGAGTTAACTCTGATTTGCTAAAATATACATATATCTATGTATGTATAATTACTGGTAAAGTTTCTAAGTGTTGAGTAATTTCTCAATACGATATTTGATTCCCACAAAATCAGTTTATAGTAACTTTGAATGAAAAGTTAATCAATAGGTTAAGAATTTACTCAGAAACTTGAATAGTAGGTTATGAGTTTCCTGATCTACCGAAGCTCCTTGCTTCCTTCCACGTGAAGAGTAGGTTATGACATATACACCAGGTCAATATAGATTATATAACATTCAAGGATATTTAATTATGACATATCCTTTCCTTGAGAAACACAATCTCCCCCATGTGTCGTGTAGCCAATTTTATAACCCTCAATCAAGCTTAGCCCCTACAATACAAATAAATTATGAAATTTTTAATGATCGATATTATAAAATCATGGACAACATGAATGACATCCGATATGAAATTACCATCATTTCATGAGTTTGGCTCCCCTGTCTATGTATAGCAACTTACACAGGACTATTTGTGGACTTGGCAGCAGATCACCTCTACATTAAATAAACAAATTGCTCAATATTTACGATTGACAACCTAAAATGTAATGATTTCTTGAAAAATCAATACCGGATATGCTTCGGTAGCAACCTCTTCTCATAATGGGAATCCCCCGGTTTAAATGTAAGGAAGCATCATCATCATACAAGCACCCCATTTTTGTCCCTTTCAGAATGTTTATCAGAGCTGGTTTCGCTGTTTTTACAGGGCTTCCAAAATTTGAAGTACATTAATTTCAGTCGTTGCGAGTCATTGGTTCGCATGCCCAACCTCTCGTGTGATCCAAGTCTCGAGGAATTGGATCTCCATTATTGTAAAAACTTGGTAGAAGCCCATGAGTCAATCACATATCTTGACAAGCTACAAGTGTTGAATTTTTTGGGGTGCTCTGAACTTAGTGTTTTTCCAAATGAGCTCAAGTCAAAAAATCTTCGAACTCTCAATTTTAGAGGGTGCACAAAGTTTGAAAGGTTCCCTGATATTTTACATAAACTAAAAGCCCTAAAAGAGCTTTATTTAGAACGAACAGCTATTAAAGGACTTCCTGCATCAATAGAAAATCTTGTCTCTTTGAAGCATATGTATTTAGGTAATTGCAAGAACTTGATGAGTCTTCCGTCGAGCATTTACAAGTTACAAAACCTTGAAGACTTGGCTCTTAATTTTTGCACAAATTTAATCGGGTTTCCAAAGTACGAGGATTCGGCTGATCGTTGCATGAAGACCGGACTTTCAAATTTACATCAATTAGACCTTTTGGGATGTAATTTGTCCGAAGTAGACTTTCTTGAGAATCTTTCATGTTCTCCATTCTTGACAACATTACAGCTGTCGAGGAACAATATTACTAGCCTTCCAACATCCATCAATAAACGTCATCGTTTGTCCTATTTGGAAGTTGAAAATTGCCATCAACTACAGGAGATTCCTAAGGTTCCACCATTTTTGAGTACTCTTTGGACGGATAATTGCAAATCTCTACAAAATTGTGGAGATTTAACTTCAGTTCGTGATTTTGTCCGTAGAGGGTTGACTATGGCTGATATTTGCTTACCTGACCAGGTTAGATTCTCTCTCTCACGCACACTCATGCACTCACACGCATGCATATGGATATGGACTATATGCTGGATCGCGTGCATGGTTGGGTATTGCAATGGCAGAAAATGCAAGATTGGAGGCTTAAGAAAATCAAACAAATATAGAGTGATTCTGCACGTGTATGCATGTAATGGAGTTGGCTATTGTACTTTTATGGGAATGATTTCTATCACATGAGTATGTTAATGCAAGCAAGGATCAATGGATCTCCACTCGTTTATAGAGCTCTAATTCCAAGTGGAATTCTCTAGGATTACTTACTAAATTCAAATTGAATTTTTCTATTTGGGTACTAATATCAAACTTGGGTACTTTCTAATGATCTATCTTTGTTTCAGCTTTTTAATTACACTATCTCTCTCCCTCGAGGAGAGATGCCGGAGTGGGTTCTTCCGGTTGAAAAGGATTCCATATCTTTCATGGCTTCAAAAGACTTGTATGATAAGTTTTTTGGATTTGCTCTCTGTGTCGCTCTCAATAAGGATAATTATGAGGAGAAAATGGAAGACTCATATCGTTTGGTTGCCCACGATTAATGACGAAGAGCGGGAAAGTTATGAATTCAATTTCGAACCGTTGGAGTTGAACCATATCCGACTTCGTTATCTCACACCACCACAGTTGTGGGGAGTAGTTGATTTTGATCAAATTGACGGGAGTCATGTACGATTTAGCCTTACAGTATTCGGCAAATATGTGAAAAACTGGGGATTCCGAATATTTTGCAAGCAACTGGAGTACGATCTAAAAATCGTTCTTCAAAATTTGTAGCTAATCGATCCAGCTTTACTCTATGAGATTGATCACAAATCAATACGTTCAGAAGTCAAGAGTTTATTTATGCACGAAGGTGATCGGATCGAAAGAGATCTACAGGAAGGCCTTGGTTCGGCCGAAACAGATCTTGAGGAAGACCTACAAGATCATCAACGGAGAATTGAGAGAGTGAACAAATAGCACCCAAGAGAAAGCATGAGCTTATTCCCGCTCAAGGGAAGCGAATCAAGATCACGTCGACTTTCTCCGATTCGACCGATGGAGAAGAGAATGATCGAGAAACTTGCGAAGGAGGCAATTCGTAGGTAAGTGAGCTCCCTGATTTTTTGTTTTTTACTTGTTCTTCTCGTTTTCTCCTCTCTTTTTTTTTATCTCTTTTTCTCTGTTCTTTCTTTTTTTTTTCAGATTTTCTCTCGCCACCGACGCCACTTTCAGCATCACGACTCCTCCTCATCTTCCATCATCCAACACCACCACCGAGCTCTGACGAAACGGAAGATCGCCGCCTGCCGACGGAAGCGACGAACAGAAGAAGAAGTTGGCCTTCCCGAAACTGACAAAGTCCCGAGCGAATCGACGGCTACGGAGACCGACAAGCGGGAGGCGACGGACTCCCACCGCCGACCGATGCCATGGAAACTGGTAAAGCAGCTCGGGGCGAGCGATACTCTCCCGAGGTTCTGGGCTTCATGTAGATTGCTGTAGATCAGCTCGATTTTGAATTCGATTCGCACGGCGCTACAATTGCGCGGGAACTTGAGGGATGTGTCCGTGAATTTGTTTGAGAGACGTTGAATAAGGTGCTTCTTCGTAAGTTTTGTCTGTGGATG